TGCTTTCCTGGGAGGACCTTAGTCTCAGAAAGCAGCCCCAGGGTGTAGGAAACTTCTGGGGCCTTATTACATGCATGAAAGCCCGGGGTTGCTTCCAGGAACAAAACAGGGTGGCCAAGCCAAAACCAACCTCAGCCCCTTTGTGACTAGGGTATGGGGAGTGGCCTAGCTCCACCACTCTGTCCTGTAGCGCCCTCTAGTGCTGCAGTGGGCTAACACCTGGGCTTCCAAGGGAAGTGTGGCCAGAGTCCACCTGGGGAGCACATAGGGGCCCCACAAACTCTCAACAGATCAGATGAAGAGAGCTAGCAGGACAGAGAACACAACCTCAGTCTATCCTGTCTCCCCACAGGTCCAGGTCCTCCTCTACTACCTGCAGCACCCCCCCATCTCCTTCGCAGAACTGAAGCGGAACACACTGTATTTCTCCACTGACGTGTAGCCTGCGGCTGGGGCGGCTGTAGGGGTGGTCAGACCCAGACCCTCCAGCCAGGCCCAACACAGACTTGAAAGACTGCAACAGAAATTCCCCAGCCCAGCACTCCAGACTCCAAGGGAAGCCAACTTCCAGAAACTGGAATCTGTGCGTTTTTTGTGCCACCTTGTACAAAGCCAGCTGACCAGCCCCCAGCCTCGCCACCGAACCCTGGCTCCTGCCCTCTGTTCCTCTAGTTGTGTCTGATGCTCCATGCTATTCGGGGATTGTTTTATGTATATTTGTCATGCAGAAAAGGTAGTGACCAACCTGGTATGGGCACACAGGTGACCTGCTTTGTTCTTTCATTTCCCCCAAAGTTTTCTTTCTTCCTGAGTCCAGTCCAAAGGCTTTTATTTGGCACTATGTAATTGCTGCCGGTTTTTCCCCTCTTGGCCCAGATTGCAGCCTCCCCTCGGTGTCCTCCAGCCTCTCCTCTCTCCCAGCCTGCCACATGCATGTGCAGCCGTAGCTTTCGCTCCATCACCTGGGAAGTTCTGCAGAGGCCCCGGTGGTGGCGGCAGTGGTGGCCTCTCTGAGGCTGCTCCCCACTGCCCTCGGCCTCTCCCCGCCCTGTACCTGTGGAAGCACACCTGCTTTGCCTTGCTGCCTGTGCAAATGTTGGACAAGGAGACAGACTCACACTAATCCTCAGCTTTTTAGCACAGAGCTGGAGAGCTGATTTCTGGAATTTTCCACTTGAGAATCTCCATTTCTGGGGTTTGTCTGTTCTGTCTCCTGCCTACCAGTGAGGCATCTTTGACTATTTCTTCTACTGCTGAATTTTCAGTTCCTTTTCCCCTGGTGTTGTTTCCTTTGAGTTTGAAGACTCACAAGTGACCTGCTATCAAGAGAGCCAGAGGGTCAGAAAAGCATCTGGGGAAGGGGGCAGTCGGCCACAGCACACAGCCCTGGTGGCTGGAGTCACGGGGGAGCAGCTCTCAGCAGGGTTGCAGGGGCTTTCCTAGTGCAGCCGGGCTTCCTGGAGGGTGACTACTGTGGCTAAAGTAGGTGTCCAGACGCAAGCAGCCTCTGCCCTAGAGGTAAGTTACCTGGCACCTCACATACCTCGTGGTACTTTTGCCTTAGATTTTTCACTCTCTCCACAGCCAAGCACTGCCACGGGGCAGCCCCCACTGCCACGTGTGCTCCAGGGCCCGAGAAAGGAAGGCACAATCCACCAACTGATGTGGCGCTTCCCTCGACCCATTTGCGGCCTTGTGTATGAGCTCAAAGTGTCCAAGTTAAGGGAGGATGAGGAATCACAGGCACCCACTGGCCTCTTGGGGGGCTGGGTTTTACTGGGCCTTTATTGTTGACACTGCTCCAGGGTAAGGGGATCAGCAGGTGCCAATCCCAGCCTTGAGACCCATTGCTCTGTACTAGAAGGGAGCAAAATTTACTTCCAAAGCACCCTTTCCGTACTGCACAGTAGTTGTCCACCCATGGCAATTAGCTTGAGAAGACAGACATACCACAGGGATGCGAGCCACAGCAAGCTCCCTCTTTTCTGTGTGGCAGTGTGTCAATTCCAGGGCCTCAGGATGGGGAAGAACAGCTCCCATTGTTTGTGCTCAGGGCTAAGTCCAAAGGACTTGCTGGCCCTAAAGCTGTCATGTTTGCTCGGCAAGAGGCAGGGCCCTTTCACATCCTGTTTATACCTGTTGCCTTCAGAATGGTACACTCTACACGCTGGAAGAAAGTAATGCTTGAGACTAAAAAAATGTTTACCACCCAGCTCACTGGTAGCAGCCTAGGAAGGAGCCCCATTTCCTGGGACGGGGTGAAGAATGCCATTGAGTGTTAAGATCCCAGTGTCTGACCATTGCTGAAGTCTCTGCTTGATACTCAGGTGTTGGTGGTGGCGTGGAAGGCTCTTGCTTCAAAAGATTGACAGCAAATTAGAGGCCCAAAGAATATAGCTCAAAACGGGTGCCTCCTGCCTCCCCTAATGAGGAAAGTTTACTCCTCAGCATTAGGTAGCTGTTGTAGCCCCTAGCTTGCTTCAGCAATATGTTAAGAGGAAGGCTGGAAGGGCTGAGATATGCAGAAGGCTCATAATATAATATTTATAAGTTCCACCCCAAGTGGAAAGGTTGGATGCCAGACCTGGATTAAGCCACACCAAGGAAATACCTGGTGGGTTCTCGCAAAAGACAGGGACTGTACAGCCCAGATCCCGTTACTGTGCCCAGCGGGGCAGCCTGTGCCAACCAGATGACAGGAAATAGGCTACAGGAACCCCAGGCATGCCTGTCTTTGCTAGGCAATGGCTAAGGTCTGCCAGTTTTTGCTGATAGAGGTAGGATGGGACCCTTCATTAATATTCGACTTTAACAAGTTGGTAAGGATATATTTTGTCTCTGTTCTGTTTCAATTTATGTAGATTATTATAAACTGATGTAAACCATGTGAGAGGAAAATGTTAATAAAAAAAATGCAAAGCCCCAACATTTGCACAAAACTCAGGCCTGTGGTGTGGATGTTTGTAATCTCAGGAGTCCAGGAAAGACCACCAATGTAAATATTTGATCCTTCCAGCTGTAACCACATGTGTTTCCAAGAACTTATTCACCTATCGAACTGTTCCAAGTCTTTCCTTTGGCCTTTGGGGGCTGGGCCAAAGTGAGCCCAAGCCCTCTGCTTGCTCCTTTCAGGTCTCCAGGTCACCTGCCAGCCTACTGGTCTCACCATTTGCATTTGCTGCTACAGTTCTCTTCCAGGGTCTCACCACAAACCTAGCCATCAGTGTTCCCTGAAGAGTTGGCAAGAAGTGTCTACTGATTTTCTGTAAACTTTTCTCTGTATTCTCCTTGGAAGTGGCATGGCTCTGGGCAGCTGTCTGGTCTGTCTGCTTACTGGGGAAGGAAGCTGCATCCCCGAGGACCAACCTTCCCTTTGGGATGGCCAGCAGGGTTAACATGGGCTGCCACCAGCGTAAGCCACTGGACACTATATTTACTCTGGAGATCAGGAACAGATGTCTCTGAAAATTGCTGTTTGGCTTATGAGCTCATACTGGCTCCCTGGTCATCTAAAACAGGAAGCTATTCATCTCTGGACTGACTAGTCAGTGTGGACAAGACATCGCTTACTGAACTGACGGCTACCAACTGGTTTCCAGGCTCATCTTTTGCCAAGCAATTGTTTGGGCAGCATTTCTTGTACTCCATCCCATGTACAAAAGCCTGGCTAGAAGACAAATGTCCGACTGCCCTTCCATCAAAGCAGTCTTACGTTGGGAGTATTTAGTGACAGCATAGGAAACACTCCTCAGTTTGTTCTCTGAGCTCTGCAGTGCTCTTACTGGCCTGGCAGTGCTGAAGGCTCATGTTTATGAGAATGGGACAGGAATCCTGTTGAATTTACCATAGAAGGATATGGGTCCTGTGAGCTAGCTCGCGCTCATGCCAAGGAAACAGCAGGCACTGGCAGAAGGTGTTAACAGCCTGATTTGACATCGTCTCACACACACAAATATATGCACTATTCTGTCTGGTTAAAGGTTGGTGAGTCAGAAGATAAGAGATGAGAAGCAAAACAGTGAGTTATAGTAGGAAAAAAAAAAAAAAAACACTTAAGGGAGCTAGAATGTGGCCCCTTCCAAGCCTACTATCTGACCCCCCTGAAGAATTAAATCCTAAGGCATCAACCCCACAGTAAATGCAGCACCGGACAGTAGCAGAGCCCAACTATAAAATATTTTGTTTTGGTTTTTGCCTATGGCACACAATTGAGCTCAACTGTTATTTTCAGTACAAGAGCACAGGTCAAATAAAATAAAACCCACTAAAAGTAGAGAACAGGGGCTAGGGAGATGGCTCAGTGGAAAAACCACTTGCCTGGCAAGCGCAGGGGCCTGAGTTCAATCCCTGGTTTCACCAAAAATAAAAAAGTAGAGAACAAGGGTGGTAGTAACAGCCTTTCCATGATGTCTGATCTTAGCCAGTAGCTTCTGGATGACCACAGTAGGACCCTTCACACATGTCCTCAGTGAGCTTGGACAAGAAACCAATGTGTGGTTCAGCAAACTGCAAGCATCTTATCAACAAGCCCAGCCAGTTTGTTAGAAGAGGCCAGCAGGGGTTATGCAGGGAATTTCAGGATGTCCTAGAAAGCAGCTAGGATGGGCTTCTGGGGAGTAAGGCCTGGATGCTGTAATGGCCTGGTGACGATGACAGCATTCTACAAACCCTGAGAACCTAGCATTCCTAGACTTCTCAGGAGGTTCTCGTTCTTTCCTACTGGATTGTGTCATGCTACAAGTTACCAGCCACCATTTTTGAGAAATGTGGAGCTTGAAAATAAATACAAACCAACTTTTTTTTTTTAATTTTATTTATTGTGTGTGTGTGTGTGTGTGTGTGTGTGTGTGTGGCCAGCTCAGCCCACCAGGGGGCAGGGCTGGCTGGCATGTGGTGCTGGGGGATTGAACTGCGGTCCCTGTGCTTTGCTTGGCTTACTTTGTTCTAAGTAGGTGCTTTAGACCACTGAGCCATCTCACCAGCCCCAAACCAACTTTTTAAACTGTAATATAAATATATTTTAACAAGGATGACAGAATATTAAACAAAAAGACCTAACTGGGTGGCGTAAGTTTACTCCGCCTTGTCCTGGTAGGCATGGTAGATGTTCGCATGAAGTTCCAGGCAAGAGTTTCCTGGGCCTGTGTAATTATACACACTGCCACCTTCCTAGCCAGAGCAGCAAACAACTCAGAAGGCTGGATGCAGTCAAGGCTGAGCCTCTGTGGAACTTAATTGCTAACAGTCAACACACAGCCTCCTGCTCTATGGAGACAGTCTGGCTTGGGCCATCCCCTGAAAGCCTGGAGGAACCCCAGAGCAGCAGAATGCAGCTTCTCTGAAGGCTGGAAGCAGAGAGCAGCAGCCAGGCAGTGACTCAAAACACCAGCTCCATGAGGGAAACCAATGCCTTCCGTCCCAGAAGCAAGTGCCAAGTGGTGCAGAAACTATCCTCTGAGAACGGATCTGATCCTGGGCTGGCATCCTTCCCTGCAGGGCAGTCTCTCACCGGAGGTAGTAATCGATTGCAGCAGAGAAAGCAGCAAAACCTCCACAACCAATGGCCCCGGCCTTTAAGCCAGCTGTAAAACAAACGGAAGTAACATTACCTTACCTGTAGTAACACACAGTGGGGTTAGGCTGCATTTACACAAAGTTTGTACAGTGGGCCTCTTCTTTTTAGAACAGAGATCAAAAAAGCAGGGACCCTGCACTTATGCCACTGAGCTATCTCCTGGCCCAGTGGGCCCTTGACTTAGGAACTCATTTGGTTTGAGGACTGGCTGTAACTCAAATTGATTGTAGGTCAAAACATTGTTCCCATAAAAAATCATGCAAACACCCATAATGCATTCCAAAACACCCCTAAACTAACCTTTTCATAATAAATAGGATTGCATAATGTGCATGATTTACTAGAAACAACTTCATACTGCACTCATTCAAGTTGACACCTTTGGCTTGTTTGAAAGGAGTCCCCCCTTTTATTTTGCTCCTCAAATGCCTTCAGGGCACTTTTGGCCTGGCTGGAGTGTTGTGGGGATAGAACTCTAGCAACCTGAGGCTGACAGCTTTGTGGAAGCAGCCACTTAAAGAACTGAGCTAGGGCCAGGACCCCAAGGAGTCCCCTTTCTTAAGAACATCCGGAATCTGGCCCTAGATCAACACGTATGCTTACATACACTTTGCTGGCATCGCAAGTCTTTGTTTACTACTGCACAAGTGGCTGGCATTTAGATCGTAACTCACGACTTTGGAGGTAAATTAAACTTTTAAAATTTCGGTCTTAACCCAAATTGTTCATAGGTGAGGCCAGTCGTACCTTGAGAGCCCATGTAACCCACATGTACAGGAAACCAGCTTAAGCATTCTTGGTCATTCAACCAGCGATGGCTCCATGAGACTTCAACAACACAATTTATATATCTAAGCCAGTATGATGTATCTCACGGCACATTCACTTAACATTTCTCATTACAAAGAATTACTATTTCCAGTCTTATGGAAATGGCTCCTCACAGGCAGGAAACTGGCTAAGAGAACCAGCCCCTGGAATCCAATGAAAGCATATGGCCTTTTACCCTCATCTGTTTATGGAATAAATTCCTGGGAAGGTGATCAAAGCACTCCTGGAGGGAGGTGAGTTTCTCACAAAGACTCTGAAAAAACTGAGAATTGAGAAGACCAAAGAAAAGCCACTCTATAAATCACACATAGCCATGTGAGCAGCACAGGCAGGTTTTAACAACACCAAATCATCCTGACTCTCAGAAGATGAGAGGCTTTTTGCCCTGAGTGAGTCAAGGTACTACTGCATGAAAGAGACCCAGGAATAGACATTGCTTCTAGAAAAGTCAACTCCCTGAAGTCCACACTACATTCTTTTCCTTTTTTACTGTATTTGGTACCTGGTCTCACTACGCAGCTTGGACTTGTAGTGATACTGTTTTCAGCCTCCCTAGTGGTGGGATTACAGGCACGCACCACCATACTCAGTCTGGGTGGCCAGCTCAGCAAGGCCAGCACAGCATGTGATGTCGAGGATTGAACCCAGGTTCCTGCACGTGCCTAAGCCTCACCAGCCTACACTACATTCTGGAACATGCATACAAGGGAGAAGGGATAGGGATCAATTTGTTTCTTTGTTGTTCATAGGCAATAATCTAACATTTCTAGGATAGCTGTACTTAGCTTTTTCTTTTTTCAGTTGTACTGGGGATTGAATCCAGGGCCCAACACATGCTAGGTAAACATGACCATCAACCCTGACCCCAAATCCTTTTGTTTCTTTTTTGTTTTGAGACAGGATCTTACTAAATTGCCAAGTTGGGCTTAAACTCTGATCTTCCTGCCTCAGCATCTTAAAATAGGTGGAATTATAGAATGTACCACTGTGCCGGGGAGATAGCTCAGTGGAATAAGCACTTCCCTGGCAAGTGCAAGGGCCTGAGTTCAATCCCCGGTTTCCACCAGAAAAAAAAACAAAGAATGTACCACTGTGCTCCAATTCTGTATTTAGCTCTCAATGGGTTGATTTTAAGTATCTGCAGAAAGATGTTAACATTGTAATTTATATATAAAATTATTATTTTTTTGTACTTTTAGGGAAGGGTCTACAGGGTGTTCAGGGTCTATTAGATCGGACTCTTAGTGATTCGCATGTTTATAGCCTCCCAAGTGCTGGAATTACAGGCATGCGCCACCACGCCCAGTCACAATCGCCAGCTCAGAGCACCTCAGGGGCAGGGCTGGCATGGCAGGCCCAGGGATCAAACCCCAGCCCCTGCGCCTGCTTGTAGGTGCTTTAATCTGCTGAGCTATTTGGCTGGCTCTTATATATAAAATTAAAACGGCTAAACAGGGCAGGTGATGAAGCTAAGTGCTAAGTACATGCTTAGCATTCACAAGACACTGTTCCATCCCCAGCAGCAAAAAACAAAGCAAAACGAAACACTTGAAAACCATGTAAAATTAATAAAAGTGTTTGAGCTGGGCATGATGACACACTCCTGTCATCCCAATGCTCTGGGATTGATGCAAAGTGAGCACAAATTTGAGCCTACCCTGGGCAACTTAGTGAGACCGTATTTCAAAACAAATCTTGGGCTGGGAATGTAGCTCTGTGCAAAGGGCTCGGGTTTAATTTTACTACCAAGGGGGGCTGGAGAGATGGCTCAGTGGTCTAAAGCACCTACTTAGAACAAGCTTAGCAAAGCACAGGGACTGCGGTTCGATCCCCCAGCACCACATGCCAGCCAGCCCCGCCCCCTGGTGGGCTGAGCTGGCCACACACACACACACACACACACACACACACTAAATAAATGTTAAAAAAAAAAATTTAATTTTACTACCAAGGAAGGCAGAAAAGAAGATGAAAGCAAGCCTGAATATGTGAGGTGCACACAGCTGCAAGGTCAGCACATCCTGCATGTACAAACGGGCTACCCAACGTCAAGTGGACCCAGCTATGCCTCTACTATACTGTATACCAACAAATTTCAATTTACTTATTATGAATGTTCTTCTATACACTCAGTATGGGAATAGTTCTTTTTTCTAAGACTAAATAGAATAAATACATTCTAGTTCAGTAGTTCTTAGGTGGGGTTGATTTGCCCCTCCCACCAGAAGCATTTAACAACCAAAGAGGCGCTGTGAGCATCTGTCTACATATCCTCAACACACAGCAATGACTCCTCAGCCCCAGTAAAGATTTATCTGAGGGGGGCCTGCCCCATAGCTCAGTTCTTTGGGGCCGGGGAGATGGCTCAGTAGAACAAGCACTTGCCTGGCAAACACAAGGGCATGAGTTCAATCCCCAGTTCTGGGGGGAAAAAAAAAAAAAAAAAAGATTTATCTGACCCAAAATGTCAACAGCACCAAGGATGAGAAACCATGATATATGGTTTCAAACGAGTTCCAAAACAGTTCACACAAAAGTGATCAGGAGTGGGCTGGGGAGATAGCTCAGCAGTCTAAGCGCCTGCCTGCCAAGCACAAGCACCTGGGTTTGATCCCCAGTACTACATGCCATGCCAACCCAGAGCACCACGCTGGCCACTGAAACCAGTGGGGCACACCTGTAAACCCAATGCCGGGGAGGCTGAGACATGAGGATCATTAGGAGTCTGAGCTGCACAGCAAGACCCTGTACCAAATAAAAGATTTAAAAAAAAAATTTTTTTTAAGTGATCAGAATTTATTTGTTGAAAAGAATATCAAGTGTCCTTGGAACACTACATGCTTAGAAATCTCAACATCAGCACATTGGCCAAGACCACAAAAGAAATTCATTCAAGAGCTGGTTACTAACCTCTGAAACCAATGGCTCCTCCAGTGATGCAGCCGCTAATGACGCTGTTCTTCCAATCTGACTTTCCTCGGTACTGTGGGTGGAGAAATACAGCTTAGGGGCACAGCAAGCCAGACCAGACAACAAAGAAAAAGACAGGACTAATTCAGACTCTACCAAAAGGACTTAATCTTCAAAAATGTAGTAGTTCCCACAATTGGCATATGTCCATAGAGGCTTCCTGTAGGTGGCACCAGAGTGCAGAAACCAAGTGTGGTACCATACAACATTTGAGAAGGAAAATTTCATCTCAAATTCTCCAATACATCTACTGTTTAAAATTATTAACTGGGGCCAGGGAGATGGTTCAGTAGAATAAGTGCTTGCCTGGCAAGCACAAGGGTCTGAGTTCAATCCCCGGTTCCGCCAAAAAAAAAAAAAAAAAATTAACTAATGGGCTAGGGAGATATCTCAGTGGTCTAAGCATCTGCTTGGCAAGCTCAAGGGCCTCGGTTGGATCCTGGGTACTACATGCTGAGCTGGCCCTGGGCACCAAATGGGTCACTAAAACCAGGTGTGGTGGTGCACGCCTGTAATCCCAACACTGGGGAGGCTGGGACGGGAGGATCACTGTAAGTCCGAGCTGCATAGTTAGACCCTGTATCCAATAAATAAATAATTTTTTCTTCATATTTAGTACAGGATCTATAGGGTCTCACTATGTAGATTGCACTCACAGTGATTCTACTGTTTGCAGCCTCCCAAGCCCTGGGATTACAGGTGTACACCACCACGCCTAGTCTCAATCACCTCTCAGAGTACCTTGGGGGCAGGGCCCGCACAGTAGACTGGGGATCAAACCCTGGCCGCTGAGCTCTGCCTAAGCAGGCACATTAGTCTACTGAGCTATCTGGCTGGCCCTAAATGATTAA